CTCTCTCTCTCTCTCTCTCTCTCTCTCTATCTATCTCTGTCTGTCTTCTGTCTCCTTCATACCAGCTTCGCGTCTCTGGCCATACTGTAAAACGCCGAGTTCTTGTTGGCCAGCAGATTCCGCGGGGAGTCCATCTCTTTGATGTGACCACTGTCCAGCACCATGATACGGTCGTAGTCGAGGACGGTGTTGAGCCTGTGGGCGATGGTGAGCACGGTGCAGGCTCGGAACTCGCGACGGATTGTCTTCTGGATGAGTTCGTCCGTCTCCATATCCACGCCGGCTGTTGCCTCGTCCAGGATCAACACCCGACTCTGTCTCAACAAAGCCCTGGCCAGGCACACCAACTGCCGCTGTCCCGTGCTCAGGTTCTTCCCGCCCTCGCCACACTCGTGGTCAAGCTTGTCCGGCAGCGACTGGACAAAGGTCTTGAGGTGAGAATGTTCCAGAGCCTCCCACAGCTCCGCCTCGCTCTTCTCGCCCAGGGGGTCCATGTTCATGCGGAGAGTCCCGCCGAAGATGATCGGATCTTGTGGCAGGATGGTCAGTTTCGCGCGGACTTCGTGTAGTCCGAGTGGAGCGATGTGTTTTCCGCTCAGACATATCCGGCCGCTGGCCGCCTCGATGAGCCGGAACAAGGCCATGGTGAGCGAGGATTTCCCCGCACCCGTGCGGCCAACAATTCCGACCTTCTCCCCGCCCCGGATGTCACAGGACACGCCCCTTAGCACAAGGTCAAGGCCGGCTCTGTAGCGGGTCTGGTAGTTCTCCAGGACAACGTGTCCATCCTCCGGCCACGAGGAACTGACCAGTCCCGGCTCTGTGTCCCAAGCTGCCTCGGTAGGGGTGTTAGAGTACTCGATGACTCTCTCCAGGGATACAAGTTCGGTCTCCACGTAGCTGGCGTGTCTGATGGTGATACTGAGGCAGTGTAGGAAGTTCTTGGAGAACGACAGGATTATTCCCGCGCGGGCCGGGCTGATTGTGACGTCAGCTAGGAGGAGCAGACCCGAGATCAGGGTCACTATGCAGGCCAGGAGATGGATGCGGAAGGAGTACCAGGTGGAGAACCAGTGCTCCGTCATCTGATTCCGCATGAAGCTCTCCACCCTCTGCTCCATCTTTTTCGTGAATCGAACTTGAGACTTGTAGGCCCGCACGGATTCGGAGCCGTTAGCCGTCTCAGTGAGGTGGACAAAGATCGGAGAGCGAGACCTGGAGATGAACCTCCGCAGCTGTCGGCTGTTGGCCAGGTAGACGTGCTGTAAGGCCAGGTACAGGATGACGACTGGGATCATGAACGGAATAATTCTGGGAATGTGGAAGAGAATCATGAAGAAAAACAGGGCAGCGTTGACGGAGAACTTGATGTAGTTTAGCATGTCCAGATTGTCCACAGACTGAATGTCTTTGGAGAAACGGTTGATGATGCGCCCATTAGGCGTGGTGTCGAAGAAAGACATGGGGGAGCGGAGAATATTGACCAGCAGCTTGTTGTGATGGTGTTTGCCCGCTTCGTATGTCCGAAACTGCATCAGACAGACGAAGACAAAAGCCGTGACCATCTCACCACAGCCACAGAGCGCGAAGGACAAGAAGTGATACCGCACTGTGTGCTCGTAGTCTGGAGTGTGGGCCCGGGAGCGGTTGGACAGTTCTACGTCGTCGGACCAGCGCGCCAGGGACCAATCCTTCTCTTCCCGGAAGTAAATGAGCAGACAAAAGATGAGGAACCCGGCCAGGAAATACCAGTAGCCAAAGGAGCTCAAGTACTGGCCGTACACTGACCAGCTCAAAGCGCCCGTTTCTGTCTCTTCCTCGTCTTCACTTCTGTCTCTTCCATCCCTACTTCCCTTCGCTTCTTTTTCTTCTTCCTCCTTTTCCTCCTTTCCTCCATCTACTGCTGACGTAGTGCCAGCTGGGCTGATAATTTCGCCATCCTCCAACACAGAGTTATCGTCATCGCCGTAGTCGTCTTCTTCATCGCTCTCGATGATCTCCGTCCCCTCATCCAATGACGTTAGACGGTTGAACACTTTCTGTTTGAGCGGTTCTAGCTCGGGGTCGGGGTCAGGGTCGTGTCTGTTGACCTCTCGGACAAACTGCGCAAAGGCCCCGTCGTGGTCCAGCAGCTGTTTGTACGTGCCTGTCTCCGACACCTCCCCGTCCTTCATCACCACCACGGTGTCCACAAAAGGCAACCAGTGCACACCGTGGGTCACCATCACGCGCGTCTTGTCCCGCAGCGCCCCCTGGCGGCTGATGACGGCATTGAAGATGCTCTTCCCCACGTGCGCGTCCACCGCGCTGAGCGGATCGTCCAGCAGGTAGAGGTCAGTGTCGGCGTACAGGGCTCGGCCCAGGGACACCCGCTGTTTCTGACCACCCGACAGGTTGATTCCTTTCTCCCCGATCAGGGTCTCGTCTCCGGCCAACAACAGCTTCAGGTCCTCCCTCAGCGCGCATGCGTCCAACACTTTGTCGTATCTCGCTCTGTTCATGGGAGAGCCAAACAGAATGTTTTCTCTCAGCGTTGTGTTCAGGATCCACGCCTCCTGAGGGACATACGCCACAAGACCCTGAACTTTGACCTCCCCCGTCACTTTCTCCATCTCTCCCAAAATGGCGGACAGTAGGGCGGACTTTCCTGCTCCCACCATTCCCACAACAGCCACCAGCCGCCCACGGGGGATGGTCAAATCAATATTTCTCAGACAATTTTTATCGCCGGAAGTATCCCACGCGAAGGAACCGTCGGTGATCTGGACGGCGGCTTTTGATTGGTCCGTTCTGGTGACTACGTCATCAGGTATGTCCTCCAAGTTGAGGAAGCTGTTGAGTCGCGTGAGGGCGTCGGCGGCGCGAAAAAACTGCGGTACGACCAAGTACAGCTGGCTGAAGGAGCAGCTCATAGTGTCCAACACGGCGTTAGCCACAAAGGCCGTGGCTGGGTCAAGGACGCCACCCATGAAGGTGAAGGTCGCGAAGCCAGCGATACAGACCAAGATGGAGACGGACCGGAAGATGAAGTCCACACCCCCGTAAAGAACACCCATCTTCTTGAGCAGGTTCACCTCTCTGTCTCGGATGTCCATGATTTTCTTGAGAAAAGATTTCTCCCAAGCGTACAATTTGAGCACTTTGATCCCGTTCAGAACTTCGTTCATTATTTTCACACGCTCGTCCTTTACGTCATTTTGCTCAGTTTCGAGCCGCTTTAGGTTGGTGCTGATCCACGCGTTAAAAGGCACGAGAAGCAGAATCAAGGCCAGCGCCACCACAGCACCGACATTTAGTTGCTGGTATAGCATAAACAAACCCACCGTCAGCTGTGCAGGGACGGAGAGGAGAATAAAAGAGGACTTGCAGCAATTCACCATCTTATCGCACTCACTGCCCAGGAGCGAGACAATCTCCCCCGTGGTCACTTTGGCTCTCTCCACGTTCCTGGCGCTCAGAGTTTTCTTGTAGATGGCCAGTTTGAGACTGGTTCGGACCTTCATGGCGACTCGGTCTACAGAGGTGGAGACTGTCTGGTGACCGAGGCCAGTGGTTAGCGAGGTCAGGAAGATGGCGACAACAATGGCGTGTCCACTCCACGCGGGCTGGCTGTCTCGGTTCTGGAAGTAGTCCAGTAGGTAGCCTACCAGGACCGGCTGCACGAAGTGAGTGAGTTCGAAGCCCAATTTTATCAGCTGATAGGTGAAGAACTCGAGTCCGAACTGGCGGACGAGAACTCTGAGTAGGCTGACCCCTTGCCCACCCTCTCCTTTCCTCCCGCTCGTCTTCCTCTCGTCCATGGTTTCTTCCGTTAATCCTCTGCTGTGGCGTTTGAGTCGCGCCCGTTCCCGGTGCCACGCCCTCTCGAAGTGCGGAGTGAGGACTCTACACCTGTCCTGTGCGGCCATGCCAGGCACTTCGTCCTCTGTGAGTCCCTGACGACAGCCGTCCCACACGCGGCCTGTGGCCCAGCTGACCAGCAGCTTCCCCGGGACACTGCTCGCGTCGTCTGGGTGGGTCGGTCCGGCTTGACCGCTCGTGTCCGGCAGAGAGAACAGCACGGCCTGGGCCACAGACCCGCCCACAGCCAGGAGGGTCAGGCTGAGGGTCGTGACGTCGCCGAGGTCAGGTTCAAAAGTCAGGTCTGTGTAGAAGGAGAGGCAGTCGGAGAGGAGGAGGAGGGACCAGAAGAAGAAGAGAGGGAAGGAGTGGGTGCAACACCGGGAGCTCTCCACTCGGAGCAGGGCCATGGTCAGTAATAGTGACGTCATACGGCCGTACAGGCACGTCACGCGCCGTGTCATCTCCCCCTCGTCCCCCTCCTCCTGATATCCGGACATGGCGATTTGGACAGCGGTCAGTAGGATCAATGCCAGGGTATATGTCATCTTCCTGGTCATCATAACACTGCGCTGTCCGGCGGACCGCCTCTCTGACGTCATCAGGAAGGCCAGGTAGAACGGCGCCACTAACCACAGGAACACGTGGGGGACCCAGGGCAACTGGCGGGGGAGGTTGGAGAACGGGGGGACTGACCCTTGTGACGTCATGGCTGCGGGGACACGGGGTGCGAGGTGTTGGGGCTGGAGTACAGATGGTGAGTCAAATGCCACTCACAGATCCTGGATCATCGACTACTCGCAGATGGTTTGTCTTCCCCAAATGTTCTTTGATTTATGACAGATGGTGAGTCATGAGTCACTCACAGATCCTAGATCATCGGCTACTTGCACACGGTGTGTCATTCACACTAAATGTTATTAGATGGTCATTGAATTGTATTCAGCACTCTATAAACTATAAATCTAACAGTCCCGTTATACACATGACACGCTGTGTGTATTCTACTGGCCCCCATCCCAGCCTAGCCTTTCCCTCCCCACCGCGTCACTCAAGGCTGTATGACATTCTGCTATCTGGACACACTCTGTGAAAAATAAAACAGGAAAGAAAAACGATAAAATGAATCTTACCAAAAAAAGCTAGCAATGTTGAGAGTAACAATTCAGGTATGGGGGTCAAATTATTATCACACTGTGTAGGGACCATAGACTTGAATTATGATACTCTAGATCTTACACTCTGACGTATAAGCGGTTCAGTGTGGAGCGCACTGTTTGACTCGGTTTGAGCTAAATGAAGGGGGAAAAAGGGAAAAAAGAAAGAAGGAAAGAAAAAAGAAAGGGAAAAAGGGGGAGGGGGGTGGAGTACCGAACGCAATCGACTATAGTGAGACTGGTACTTTGCTCTTCATTTTGGGCGTAATGGCACGGCCAATGATGTTGGCACATTCTGTTAGTCATCAAAATTTTAGACCGGCATGCGAAGACCAAGATTAAACAGCAGAGCGATTTGTTTTTAAACCTGTTTTAATCGTGGGCAGACGAACGTGAACATACCGTAATAGTAGTGGTAGTAGTAGACCTATACATTCAATTGAACACGGGCATCGACAATCATAATACAAATGTATAATTTATACTTACATGAACGCTTTACCAGGAAACTTCTGTTTTGAGCAACTATCCTCCTGTAATGTGAGAACTCAGAAACACATTGTTGGTACATCTGAACTGCCATGTGTGAATTCACCAACATGTGAGCATTTCTACACAGAGCAGGGTACGCGTGCATGTGTCTGTGTCTGTGTCGATCTGTGTCTGTGTCTATGTTAGTGTCTTGGGATCTGTGAATGCCAACGTCAGGTGAAATCATAGTTTATACAGCGTGGGGGGTACCAAGATATACCGAGGTACTTTTTTGATGTATTTATAGCAGCTTGGTGACATGACCTAGGGAATGCCTTATTGTTTCAGAATGGAGTAACCAGGGACGCTTCGGGGTGGTCGGGGGAAGGAAGTATGGTATCCCGTTATGGTCATATTTGAACATTTCACTAAGAAAGGACAGTTCTTTTTCTTCTTCTTCTTCTTCTTTCTTTTCTTCTTCTTTTTCTCCTCCTCCTCCTCCTCTTCCTCCTCCTCCTTTTTCTTCTTCTTCTTCTTCTTTTTCTTCTTCTTCTTCTTCTTCTTCTTCTCTCCTGCTGCTGCCGCTTCATCAATTCAATTGACTGATGAAAGCGTTGCACGGCAAAACAGAAATTCTTGAGACGTTTTCATATTTTACCAGATTCCAGCCTTGCATATTATTATCATTTTTGTGTCTTCTCTGATAAGACATGATCTGATAACAATGTTTTCGGTTGTCCATATATCCCGAGTTACCTCTGGCCCCTGATCCCGCACTGACCTCACACACACAGTGACCAGTGACCAGTGACCAGGTCAGGCAGATATCGATTTTCTGGCCCTGTGGCCAGCCAGCCCTAACACCGATACTGTCTACGACAGTTTCTCTGGGAGCGAGCCAATCAGCGGTGACTGGGTATACATAGATCTACCAGGATATTCATAGATCTCACAGAGAGAAAATGAAACTGGGTGAGAGAGTAGAGAGGGAACGTTTTTTGTGTGCGTGTGTTTTGTTGCTGTTGTTGTTGTTGTTGTTTGTTTGTTGGTAGTGGTAGTTGTTTTGTTTCTTTGTTTGTTTTTTGGAGGGGGGGAGGGTTGTTCGGTGTACATAAAAGCGTTTGGTGCAGCGTATATCTATGTCGGGTTTGTTTTTCACTTAGATTAATGGGTTTCTGGTCTGTGAACTCTGTCTGTCTGTCTGTCTGTCTGTCTCTCTCTCTCTCTCTCTCTCTCTCTCTCTCTCACACACACACACACACACACACACTCTCTCTCGTCCCCCTCCCCTCTCCCCCCCCCCCTCCCCCTCTGTCTCGGTCAAGTATCTACATGTTGTGTCGGCCAACTGTTGGTTAACCCCGCCAGTACCACACCAAGAACCAAACTCTGTAACATAACAGAAAAAAACACACCATGGTGATATCAGAGAGATTATACTCTCAAACCCTGTCCTAGTTACAATGGAGTTAACAAACACATTATGAGGGCGCGGGCGGGACACATGACATAAAAGGTGTTTAGCCAAAAAAAAAGCCCTTTTCTTCGATTTCATCATTTTGACCAGCGCCTGATTTAAACACGATGCCTCACATATCTCTCAGTTCATTTGAAGCCACGTTTAAGTACAATTATTCTCTATTCATTTGTAGCCACGTTTATGTACAATTATTCTCTATTCATTTGAAGCCACGTTTATTTACAATTATTCTCTATTCATTTGTAGCCGCGTTTATTTACAATTATTCTCTATTCATTTGTAGCCGCGTTTATGTACAATTATTCTCTATTCATTTGTAGCCACGTTTATTTACAAATATTTTCTATTCATTTGTAGCCACGTTTATTTACAAATATTCTCTATTCATTTGTAGCCACGTTTATGTACAATTATTCTCTATTCATTTGTAGCCACGTTTATTTACAATTATTCTCTATTCATTTGTAGCCACGTTTATTTACCATTATTGTCTATTCATTTGTAGCCACGTTTAAGTAGGCTACAACATTCATGTTCCCCACAGTCGGTCAAAAGGTGCGGTATTGTGTATGCAAGTATGTCATGGAAGAGCAAGTTAGCTATAAAAAAAACGAACTAAGCGCTCACGGTATGCTCAACGCTCATACTAGATTTATTAAGAAGGCCTAGAGACGTTGAGTGGGACGCGCAGCGAGACAGCGCTGTTTCTAATCCTCTCTATGATGGCGGTACCGCGCGCTGAGCGGGCTTTTGCTGCTTTATCTGGGTGACCCCACAGGCGCGAGCTCTAGTAGAACTGATTTATAACCTCTTTGAAAATATCCCCAGTGCCATTCCAGTTATTTTAAAACGAAAAAGTTAAATTTTTATTAAAAAATGAATGTGTTCTGATAAGCCGGAACTGTTATTATTTCTTTTTCCTCCTACTGTTTTGAGTGAGAGAAAATGTGAGTAACATTGAGAATGAATAACTGAGTTGGAGGAAGAAAGAGAGTGAGAGAGAGAGAGAAAGAGGGAAAGAGTGAGTGAATGAGTCAGTGAAAGAGTGGGAGTGAAAGAGAGTAAGTGAGAAGGTGAGAGTGAGGGAAAGTGAGTGAAAAGTGAAAGTAAGTGAAGGTGTGAGCGAGTGAAAGTCAAAGTGAGATTAAGAATGAGAGTGAGAGTGAGTGAATGAGAGAGAGAGAGACAGAGAGAGAGTGAGTAAGAGAGTAGGTGAGGGAGAGAGAGAGAGAGAGAGAGGGAGTGAGTGAGAGAGTGAGTGAGTAAGAATAAGAGAGAGAGTGGGAGTGACAGTGAGTGTGAGTGAGAGTGAATAAGAGAGCGTGAGAGAGAGAGAGAGAGAGAGAGAGTGAGTGAGTGTGAATAAGAGTGAGAGAGAATACGTGAGTGAATGACCCTCTCTCTTACACACAGAAGACATGAATTCAATTCCTGAGCCAGCTGAAAGGTTTATCGAGTATCTTGGTCTTTCAGCTGGGATATTGTATCCCCCTTAGAACAGGTTGACCCTTTTTGTTGTAGCGTTTTTCCGCACGTGCAATACAAACAGGTCATAAAAGTGTCGAAGACTAGAAGTGTTACAAGAGAGTCATCATCATCCAGTGCCAGATCTGCGACAGACATCGGCGATCATGGTTTTCCATTCATTCCTTTGCTCGGATGCTCTAAAAAAAAGCTACGTTTCCCTGAACTTATCCTGTTACCCATTTGTTAAGGTTCCCTAAGTACGTTGTTCTGGGCCTACCCCTGCCTCGCTTGCCCTCAATTTTGCCAGTGAGAGCTAGATGTTCAAGACCCTTATGTCTATTCAGGTGTCCCAAAAACTGCATTTGTCGTTTCCTGATTGTACAAGAGAGTAACAAACACCAAAAAGATGGAAAAGACATGGACGATAGATTATTGCCAAGAGTGGCGTGGGTAGCCTAGTGGTTAGGCCACAGGACTCGTAATGACGAGATTGCACGTTCGGGGGTTCAAGCCTCAGCTCGGTCCGATGTTGTGTCCTTGGGAAAAGCACTTCACACGCAATTTCCATTTGGCTATGTCCTTTCGGAGATGGTCGTTAAACCCGGAGGTCCCGCCTCTTAAAAAACCTAATAGTGTTGATAGAGGCGTTAAACCTATACCATTTTTATTGCCAAGGAAGGAGCAGACCACAGCAAAGTTGGCTCGACAGTGACAGGCAGGGTCAGAGGCCCGCCTCCTAAATGATTTAAACAAATTGTGTTGATGAGGGCGTAAAAACAACATTAAAACAACAACCAACATTTAATTAAAAACGACATTTAAATAAAAACGACGAAAACGACAAGCATTCATTTCCTTTTATTTGTCAACATAGTACATTGGAACTCCGCCTCAACATAAGGAGAGAGATTCCCCTGTTTTTCAAACATTCATTCAAACCAGTTATAAAATATCACATATTCAATGAACACATAAATGAGCAAGCTCAGATTGATTCAACGACTCTCATTTGAAACCAAACTAATTTAGATTCAGGAAATCGAATACACCATACATCAGTTGCTTTGTGCCTGCAGTTATCTACACAAAGACCTCACATCAATTTGCTTTAACGAACACTCCTCAGATTCAACGAAATAGAAAGTCAGGCCCCACGACCTCAATATACCCAAGTTTCTCTGCACAACAAGTTTATTTACGAAAGGACAAACAAATTACAATTTTATTAATCCCAGAACGGCACTTTGGTTTACTATGGCAAACATGCATTCATGATACATAAATTTATAATTATAAATACATACGTATGAATACATACACATACACAAATACACAGTATACCAATACAGAACACTTTCACAACCATGCCATTGCTGGTGGCCACTGTGCAGCGCCCTCTTTTTGATTTTTTATCCTCACAAACTACAACGACTTCAAACCACGACAACGTTGACCCACACAAACCACGACAACTTTGACCAATACAAACCACGACAACTTTGACCAATACAAACCACGACAACCTCAACCCATGACGACCACCACAACTTCCATCCACGAACACCACAAAGACTTCAACTACAACCCACGAAAACAACAATGTATTTTTTTTTCGTAAGAGTTTTACGGCACTTGCAACACAATACGGTCATATAAGTGCCGAAGATTAGAGGTGTTACAAGGGAGTAACAAACACAAATAAGAAGGAGGGGAGATAAAGATGATAGATGTTTAAGGGGAAAGAAGGAGCAAACCACACCCGAGCACCCGCCAACCACCCACAAACCACGATGACTTTGACCAACCGACCTACGGCGACCATGACAACCTCAACAACCTTGACCCGGGAAAACTGACCACGACGACCTCAAATCACAATGACCACGATGACTTCAACCCATGATAACCATGACGACTGCAACCCATGATAACCATGATGACTTCACCATGATAACCATAACAACTTCACCATGATAGCCAAACCAACTTCACCATGATAACCATAACAACTTCACCATGATAGCCAAAACAATTTCACCATGATAACCATAACAACTTCACCATGATAGCCATAACAACTTCACCATGATAGCCATAACAACTTCACCATGATATTGATAGCCATAATAACTTCACCATGATAGATGTAACAACTTCACCATGATATTGATAGCCATAACAACTTCACCATGACGACCTCGATCTATGACAACCACAACAAATTCCACCTGCAGAGACCAGGAACACTTGACCCACAAACATTACAATGACCACGACGACTACAACCCATGATGACCTCCACACGAGACCACTTGACCCATACAACCCAAAATATCCATGACGACCACAACCCACCACCCACAACACCCACGACCCACAACGCCCACGAACCACAACGCCCACGACCCACAACGCCCACATCACCCACGACCCACAACGCCCACAACACCCAGGACCCACAACGCCCACATCACCCACGACCAACAACGTTCACATCGCCCACGACCAACAGCGCCCATATCACACACAACGCCAACATCCCACATCACCCACAACGTCCACAACCCACACCGTCCACATCGCCCACGACCTACAACGCCCACATCACCCACAATGACGACGACCTACGACAACAACGACAACCTCGACTAGCGACAACTCCGACGACTTCAACTACAACCCACGATGGTCTCCACATACAAAGACCACAACAACTTAGATCCGTGACGACTTTGAACCGTGAAACCCATGAGGGCTTGATCCAAGACAACCATAATGATCCCAAAACTTTGCCCATGACAAATGTGCCCAGGACTACCACGACAACTTCAACCATAATGACCACTGCAACTAGCAACCATAATGACCACTACAACTAGCAACCATAATGACCACTACAACCAAGACACACAAACACCACTACAACCACGCACGACACACAAACACCACAACAACCATCAAAGACCATAATGAACACAACCGCTTTGGCACACAGAACAATCACAGCGACTAGGACACACAAAAGGTTTCATTTATCTTTTAAAAAGTGTAATATTCCCCTATGTATAATTTCTCTGTAAATGTACATGTACTTCAAAATACTTCAAAAGCAAAGAAGACAAACAATATTTCAGATCAAACAATTTCTCTTGGTTGGTCCGACAGGAATCGACGCTCTTTCACAATAAATGTCTTGAAAACACGATGGGCCCTGAGAAAATAGAAAACGGGAGAAAAATACTGTTCCTTTAAAAAAAATAAGTCTTTAAATCTAAATACAAATTCCAGTGAAGTTTAAAAACCAACAATAGGCTTACTTCCCTGGGCAATTCAAACAGAAAAAAATAGAAACGTTAAATAACAGAAAGGGAAATGAAACTAAACATCATTTGAACAACTCGTTACTCATCACCAGAATAATTCAATATTTCGCAAAGACAACTTGCCTACGCCTCCTCACACACGACACGTATCTAGCAATAGCTATGTCCTGGCCTATAATGATTAAGCTCCATTGCTTTATATAGCTTAGTTAGAAGAGATCACGGCAAATCTTCATCTTTTTTAAGGTTCTGTAGGCAGCAGCTTGATATTCTTAGGTGCTGTATCTGCCATATATAAATATAACAACCGTTTCAAATACAAATGGTGCATTGTCATCGAATGATTCAATTTAGAATTTGCAAGGAGAATTGCATGTTCGTTTTTTCATATATAGTAAGTCAGAAGCCAATGTTCGTCTGCTGTAGTTTTATAGGCAGCAGCTTGCTAATCTTAGGTGCTGACCCTACCGCAAGGTTATACCAGAATGCTTAAAAATATATAAAACATCACTAGTTATTGGCAGCAGCTTGCTAATCTTAGGTGCTGTCTCTGCCACGAGTTTTTACCAGAATGCTTAAAAATATATAAAACATCACTAGTTATTGGCAGCAGCTTGCTAATCTTAGGTGCTGTCTCTGCCACACATTTTTATCAAAATGCTTATAAATGTATAAAAGAAACACTAGTTACTGGCAGCAGCCTGCTAATCTTAATTGCTGTCTCTGCCATTTAGCCTACTACTTGGTCTTCTGACTCTTATTATATCTTTTCACTAACATCAGTCAATTTCAAAGGGAAAGAAAACAAACAAGACTGCACATTTCTCACCTTTACTCTCCGCTGCTCCTACAGGACTCGATTCTCTTCCACAGCAAATCTCTTGACACAAGATGTATTCTGAGAAAACAGAAAACAAGAAAACTAAAGAACTTCCCTGAACAGAACGTCTTCACAGCTTGATCTCTATGCTTTCCCCGACATTCGCTCAATTTTGATTTCACTCAAAAGCTAGGTTTCCAATGGGAGCACAATGCTTGTTGAAAACTATATGGTCATAGGGTGGGTAGGATGAGCTCAAGAAAACAGATCCCTTCGTAAGAACGACAAGCTAAAGAAAATGGAATGGGGAAAGATTTCTGAATGTTCGTGTCCTTTATTTCTCGCACAAAAGCATAGTTTCCCCAAGTTTTCAGGTACCTCTCCTTTTAAATCAGTATGCTTGGGAAGCAAAGAAGACAAGTAACCTAGCAATTCTCACCTTTTCTCTTGTATGGTCCTACATGACTCGACGCTCTTCCAGAATACACCTCTTGAAACAGGATGTACTCTAAGAGAAGATAGAAAACCGGAGATAATTACTGTACCTCCACAAAAAGGAAGTTTTTACACTTTGGTTTCTATGCTTTAAGTTTCACTCTAGGTGCAGAATTAAATGCTATGTCTCCATGAATTTCAATGCATGTGGAAAAATACAAGGTCATAATGTAGGTAAGAAATGCTCAAGAATGTGGAATGCTTACGGATGTCAGAATGTGTGTTACATTTTCATTTACAATAACAGCGGGGTGCATTTCCTGCTTGACCGTCAGTCTTTTGAAACCTTTCTAATTATAACACCGACTTCCCATTCAACCTTTACTTCCCTTTTGGACATTAAATTAAAAACGAACCTGTCTGGTCCATAAGAGACGCCTCTATTTGGGTACTCCAGTGCCGGTCCTTTGCCAGGATGGTGGTAGGAGGGAAGGAGTGCTGAACATCCTCGCTCGGAAGAAGAATTCATACATAGGCATCACGTTACTGTTCTTAGCTGCTGTATCTTAAAATGGCTAAGCCCTGGCCTATAAAGATTCAATCAATCTTCATCTTTTTTAGGATTCTCTAGGCAGCAGCTTGTTATTTTTAGGTGCTGTATCTGCAATATATAAATACCCTATTCTATTTCATCATTGACTGCAGCATGCTAAGCTTAGGGGCTGTATCAGTCGTTTTGTAATAACAATATCTCTCACTTCAGAAACTTTACTCCTAGGCCAGATTATTGGCAGAAGCTTGGTAATATTAGGTGCTTTTTCTGCCAGTAAAAACTACTTCCCGTTCTTTTCACTGTAGCATGAGATAAGCAATCAATCAAGTAATTATTTCTTCATTTGAAGAGAATCCTACCATTCTTTTGCAACATCTTAACTACCTAAAATAAGAGTGGAGAATATCTGAATACAATTTCAGTAACGTGTGCTACATCTTAAATACCTAAAAAAGAGAGTGGAGAATATCTGAATACAATTTCAGTAAAGTGTAAAAGCATGCATGGCCCTACTTACATGGGCAGCTCGAACAGCAAAAGGAAAAAAGTTGAACAACACAAAGGGAAATGAAACCAACAATCGTTTGAAATACAAATGGTGCATTGTCATCGAATGATTCAATTAAGAATTTGCAAGGAGAATTGCATGTTCGTTTTTTCATATATAGTAAGTCAGAAGCCAATGTTCGTCTGCTGTAGTTTTATAGGCAGCAGCTTGCTAATCTTAGGTGCTGACCCTACCGCAAGGTTATACCAGAATGCTTAAAAATATATAAAACATCACTAGTTATTGGCAGC